AATCTTAAAGCATGTGCAATTCCTGTAACTATGCACTCAAGGATGCTGCCTATGCGCGTCGGCAGGAGGCACCTGAGAAGCTGGGGGATATTTTCGGTGTCGCTCCTTGATCTCCAGACATGCCCCTCGAGGACGTAGAGACAGATGTAGTCTGACTGCGAGGACGACTCGTTAAATTCGGACGACAACAAATCAATAGATACGAAGAAATGTTTTTAAAATAATAAGGATCGTATCTAAGAGTCGGACTTTACTGTTACAGTTGATACATATGTAATCTATTCAGAAACTAGAGGTGCTAGCTTCCGTCGGATGTATCTTGGTAGTGGCGTGGGTAAAGATGTGCCGATAGTCTATTGCAACACAGACAAAACAGTATCATCCAGAGAGTGGCAATCACAAGAAGCACTCAGCAGCAAGCGGCCGGGGACCGTTGATGTTGTTGCAGGACGCTTTCTATGCCTGCTGCGGCACGCCCAAAGAGCCTGTCATCCGACACTTCAAGTTCGAGCGTACGAGTGCTGTTCATCCCTTGGACAATTATATTGTACAAAAAGTATTTTGTCGCTAAGTACAAACAGCTCTCTGTTATGAGGACATCCATTATCACAATCCGGAATATAAAGGTGAGAGTTCAGCGCTTTCAGCGAGCGCCTGCACAAACTGATAACGGGCGCCTGATCACATCTTTGTGGCGTTCATCGGAGATGCAAAGTCTGGCGAATGCTCTCACTCTCTTTCAACGCCCACGACGTCGTAGGAGACTTATCTCCCCAGGTATCTATCACCCTATCGCAGGGAAGATACTCTGACTCCTGTTTCTCTCAGTCTGCCGAGACCTACAACGCTCCCCCCACCCCATTGCGAACTTCACCTCCCCAGTTCGGCAGCAGATACCGAACGGCGCAGACGGTATCATAAGGACATAACCCTCAAGCGGAACGGGTGCGCATTTTATGCACTTTCGTTACCCACAACGAATAGATGCTGATCTGTTTCAATGTTACAGCTTCGCAGACGTCTTTTCCCAAGGCAGTACGCGCATGGCAAGCAGAATAGGTTACGACGATGATGATTCTAAGTCACAAGCCATAATTCCAGCAAAGAGAAAAAGGGTCGAAGAAGAAGACAAGAAATTACTCTTTATGCAAGATCGGCTAGGTCCTAGACACGAACGTCTCTGGTTCGATGATGGTAGCGTCGTCATAGCCGCGCGAGACATGTCGTTCAAAGTCCATCAGTCTGTTCTTGGACTGCACTCTGCCGTCTTTCTCGAGCTATTCGACACTCTGGACAAGTGGAGTCAACAGCTTGAAGATGGCTGCCCGATCATTCAGGTGACCGATCATGGACCTGATCTAGCGAGGCTACTCCTTATTATCTATGGTTCCGACAGGTGCGTAATCTACTGCAAGGAGTGGATGAGCTGACACGCCAGATGCCAGGCTGTATCTGGGTTGCGGTAGATCTCAGAAATTTGCCGAGTTTCGGATCGTAGCTCTCCTCGCTCTGAAGTACAATATCCAAGAGATCGTCGATGACGCTGTGGCCCGTTTGAAGATTGCTTTCCCCGCGGAGTTCGATGACGACGCCTACTGGGAGAATCCTATCCAGTATACTCGATCTGGCGCAAGCAATCCCGTCTGGTGCGAAGATCGCGATCTTGCTGGCATTGTTCATCTCGCGAAAGCTCTACAATGCCCTTCGGTGCAAGTCATAGCACTCTATCATTGCTGTCGACTTGGAGAAGGTATGCTCTTCGATGGTGTCCAGTATACTGACGCCCAGGTGCGGTTCTCGCACGATGAACTGCGTCTGTGCGCATCAGCCACCGACGCATTTTATCAACATAACACATACGTCATGAACGCTCTCACAGAAACGTACTCTTCCTCGACAGACACTTCCGGAGCCATCCTCTGCAGGACGACGGCCGATTGCAAGGATGCACTCGGCCGCTTGATAGCTTGCGGTCTTCGGAATGGACAATTCGCCTCCCCTTGTGCTCTTGATAACCTCAACGAGTGGATTGACGAAAGCTCGGAGAAAATGTGCTTCGGGTGCCGGGAGACTCTGAAGGGTGTCGTCAACGAGCGACGAAAAGAAGTGTTTGACGATCTCGGAGCAATATTCGGAGTCAAGCCGTGGCCGCCTGTAAAATCGTAAAGGAATATTTTCTGACATATGCGCGTTCTGAAATTCGTTCTATAAATTTCTGCATCTCGACTTGCAAATGCCTCGAGAAGGTTAGAGGTCGTCAGTACTTACAGCGTCTATGTCTGATCCTAACCACGTGATATACCCGCAGGGGTTTGCAATTTTCCGCTGATTCTCTGCTTTGTATCTGACGTCCACTTTGAGCTTCCCTCGACGATGATGCCTTCGTTTCCTAGCGTTTTTCTAGATCGTGTGCTTTGGCGACCTTTCCTCGTCACCGCCGACGTCAGTGACTGCGGCGGAAACAAACGTCTATTCGACAGGGGCGCCTGGCGGTAGGCACGCACAAGTTATATACGACTCCACTCGACTGCTGGCCAGTTGACTTGCACTCTGTTTCTTGGTGAAATGTCCCTGGTCCTCGATATAGCTTTCTTTGCAACGGCTGCGCTCCTCTCGCTGTTTCTGCGCCGCCAGGTCGCCAAACACAAGCTTTCTGTGGGCCGAGTAGCGCCTTTCGAGCTCGCCCTCTACGACGTCCACTACTCCGGCACATTGTACAAAGGGACATACCATTTCGATATCAATGTGTCTCTTATCTACGTTCAACCATACTGGCCTACGCGGCCGAGCTCAAAGTGGCTAACTTTCACTGCCAAGGACGTACTTTACAAGTCCAGCACGGCCGACATCTCCACTTCCAACCTCTCGGCGGAGTTCTGGTTTTTCCCGAAGCTGTTTAGGCAGACAGCGGGTCCCTGGCTCAACGTCGAACTTGACGACTTCCGGATACGCGTCTTCGGGAGTGACGCGACGCCATACTTTGTCAAGCGGCTCCGCGAGAATCTCGTCGGTGCCGTGCTGGACGGCGAGATTCTGCAGGTGGATGACTTCGGCACCAGCATGCGGTTTGCGGGGGTCACGGAGGCTGCGGTGCAGAGCGATGAGGATCCGGATGGCGGTGGTAAAAGCGAGTATCCGGAGAAGAACCGCGAGACCGTGCCCCATGCTGGACCGTACGAGGATCAGATCGGGCATGGCGATGACGTCGCACATGACAGTCTTGCAAACGCGGACGGACACTTCAAGAACATCTGCAATAACCGCAAATCGATCAAACCGGTGCCGTCTCTCGGTCGCGACGAAGACGAGGTTCGCGTATCCGCGTTTACTCGGGGCCTCATGCTCCAGAGTGAAGGCAGGGTATACAGCTTCGAGACCGTCGACGCCCAGTTACGTAGGAACTGGACAGCCAATCGGGGCAGCTTCGTGATGGTCGCGAGGGGAAGTCGGTGGGTGAAGGTGCCGTGGGATATACGAGATGGAGGCTGCATCATCGTTTTGGATGTAAGTGTA